AAAGCCACTATCCTCTTTGCAGAGATTCACCTAGTATTCAAATGCAAAATGGAAAATCTTACCAGGTTTAAGATCACGATGAATGATCCCATGTGCATGCAAACATTCCATGGCTCGGGCGATGTCCAATGCAAATCCAACTGCAACACGAGGCTCCAGGTTCCTAGGCCGTAAGCTGACCAAATACTTCCGCAAAGAGCCCCCCACTAATAGCTCAGTCACCACCACCATGACAGGCTCTAGGCAAGCTCCAATAAACTGAACAACAGGCAGATATAGTTTTCAATATCCAAAAGCGCCCAACACTTCCAGCCAATGAAATAATGATAGTAGTCAGCAAAGAAGCGAACCTTGACAAGGTTCTTGTGCTGCACCCTTGATAGCATGGTCACCTCTCTCAAGAACCTACCCTGCCTCTTGATGACCTCTTCAGGGGTGTCCCCTTTGTGCACAATCTTGATAGCAACATTTTGGTTCTTGTACCTACAAACCCCATCATCATGAATCATCAACTGAGAGATAAATTATAAGCAAACAACTCATACAAATCAGCAATTTGTAGATCGTAGTGTAAACAGACGAGCCTTACTTCCCCTCGTAGACCTTTGCATGTCCACCCTCACCGATCCGTGGCCCAACAAAGAGAAGCTTTGGGTCGATGAGCCAGCTGGGATCAATGTGAAGACCTTCACCCGCATAGAACGTGCTCCCCGACTCCATTTCCGCCAGAGTGGATCCACTTTGGGTCCCGTGGGGTCACACGGCCCCACCAAACGCTTAAATAAAAGATTTGATATTTTTAGAAGGTGATCAAAATTGGTAGAGAAGTATATCACAAGCATATTGTACCAGAACCGCGCAGAACATAGATGCATTACGTGTGTACGGCAAATTCTACTTTCAGAAAGTATTCACAAGTTGCTCCAAAGAATGTATACGAATTAAGAAAATAAAAAGGAAATATTTGCAAGTTGGTACATAAGCATGTCATATACACGTATTGAGCACTTCACTGGATATAGGTAGGAACTAGAAGGATCAGGTGTATGCAATACTTCTTCACGGAAGTATTTGGAAGTTGGTATAAGAACATGTTAGAAACATCTCACTGAAAATACGTATGCTCTAGAAGGACCGACTGCATTCGACAATTTGTAAACAAGGTTCTCGTACCACCATTATTTCATTTTTTAAGTTCACAACAAAAAGAACCAACTACGATCCTGTTCACATAGAGGAGAGTATATATGCATGCAGTAATAAAAGCCTAAATAATGGATATTCCATATGCATTGAAAACCCATGAGTACCAGCATTGACTGAGTGAGTTACTTGAATGCAGTCCAGCACAAAATCACATAAATTTAAAACTAATATGAGGCATGTTTTGCCATCTCTACCCTAAGAGAAATTGTCACCGCATTGCATCATGATGAGATCACGATCTTGTAACTACTCGTGACCTGCTTGGCACGGCGGGCTGAACCAGTCGGCACGCAACGATCCGGCCAAACGAGATAGACGCACGCACAAAGCCGCCAGCTAAGCCTGTGGTTAAACACCATGCTTGCGCGCATTTTAGTCCACGCTTGCCGCGAAGCTTTTCCCTGTCAAAAGCGGCGGCCCAACTACCCCGGGAGAGGGAGATGGAACCACAAATGGCGTCGCAGCCCGACAGTCCACCATGGACACTAGTCTACAGTAAGAAGTCGGGAGCAGCGACGGAGCGAGCTTGCGGTGGCCACTAATCTAGCGCGAGCACGCGTGCAGGGAACGGAATCGGGCGGGATCAGGCGGATTGATCGGGAATTAGGACATGGCCGGGGACAGAGCTTACCAAGAAAGCCCGGATCTCCCTCTTGTAGGAGCGCGAGGAGGCTAGACCGCCAGGCGTCCGGGGAGCTCGCCTCCGACGCCTCTGGTGCGCGAGCAGCAGCAGCTCGGCGCCCGGCGCCACATCAAGGGGAGAAGAGGCAACAGCTAGCTAGGAGCCCGACCGCGCGCGGGTGAAGCGGTGGCAGAGGCAGAGCAACGCGGAGAGAGATGGAGATGGGGATGTGAGGGCGTGGCGGTCGGTCGGAGCGAGGCAGCGTGCAGCCCGTGAGAGGGGGAGGGAGGGAGGGAGGGAGAGGGGTAGAAAGATGGGTGAGATCGAAAGATTTCAGTGTAGTATTCATTTCATATGTTTCCCCGACTCCCTTCTTTCCATCTCTCTTTTCTTTTAACAGTTTTTTTTTACATAAACACGCAAAATTTGCGTATCTTTCCATTATAGAAAAGTGAGAAAAATTACGATTATGGGTTACATCACAAACACATACATAAAGATGTGTGTGGGACATTCCTGAAGCAGAGGATAGAGTGCTCAGGCCAAGCACAAAGGTCTATCTCTAAGGCACTATGTGATCTAATCCGGTGACGCCAGCTCTAGCACAACAGTGCGCATCATCCTGGATGATATGCACTAGACGACCAACGAAAGAGCGAGTAGCGTCGAAGATACATCCATTTTGATGCTTCCAGATTTGCCAAGCCATGAGGATGATGATGGAAGAGATGCCGCGACGTTAAGCCGGAGGGGCGCCGGGGCAAGAAGTCACCCATCAGGTCAGGCATGATGTTGCAGCGAAGGGAGGTACAACTGTGGATTAGCACCAAGCCAACATGTCGTGTGAGACTTGTCACGAGAAGGAGCACGCAATCATGATGTGAAGTGTGTCCTCCGGCACTTGGTAACAAAAGGAGCATAACTCGTTCATGCTTTGGATTTCTATCTGAAACACACACAAGATGGTTCATGTCCAAACAGATTGGATGATGGTCAGAATTACCCATCTCCAGATTGATCAATCCTGCTAAAGGGTGCCTTTGAGCCCAGTCTGTGTTAGACATAACACGGTCAAGCCTCTCCCTCAAACCTGCATGGAACCAACCTTCATAGCCAACATCCTCAAGAGAACAGTCAAAGAGAGTATCTTGGAACACCTGAAGGCGCGACTGGTGACGCAGGGCTCTCCCTTCATTCTTTGATGAGAAAATGATCTTGTTAAAGTCGCATATCATCGCCCATGGCAAATCTGTTTGTGAGTAAAGATCACATAAAGTACCATAGGTGCTCTCCTTGTTATTCTAACTAGATTCTGCATATATGTTTGTTAGTTTCTGTGTGTCCCCATTTATTTTTTTCACCTACGCATCAATATTGAGAGTAGATCCTCACCTCTTTTGAAACTACCAACATAGCCCCCCTTCTACCATCCAAACTTGGTGCAACGACCATGTAATCCACTCAGATTTTATTTTCTTACCTTATCTACACGTGTGTCATTCAGATGTGTCTCAGACAGAAAGAAAACATCTGGGTTATGTCGCCTTTGAATAACAAGAAGCGGATGAACTATTAGGGCGCCAAGGAGACCCTGACAGTTCCAACTAGCGAGTTTCATTGTTTTCGGCGAACCCCCACATGGGGGGGGGGGGGGCTAATCCCATATGATACTAACATTTTCATCACCTTCACTTAAACTTGTCTATCCAATTCCACCCTCCAACCATTGTCACAAACGAATCTACTTCAATTCCTTGTTAGTTTCTTCCACTACGGGTTCCTGTGGTTTTTGTACCCTGCCCAAATTGATGACACAACGAAATTGAGGTAAAGTTCCATTTATCTCGCTTAAGCTCGTTCAAATATAGCGAAGAAAGTATATTTCCTACTAAATATATGCTTTTTGTACCTAGTGCCCAATCTATTATGACAACAGAGGTTTGTGCAGATATGAGAGGGTTCCCATATACAGTAGTTTCAGCCTATGCTTTCGTGAATCATCAGATGGCATGACAGTAAGCTTAAATTAACTGTCCTTTCTTAGCAATTGACTATATAATGTGTTCTATACTTAAGCATACAATATTCCTACCGATTTGTTAACTTCAACTTATTTCTGACAAATAGATGACAAATCAGACTTAACATTTAGAACAAAATACCTTTCCTTTATATTACTATCTTTCCTAAACACCTGAATGTCTTTCAAAATATACAATGTGTCTTGCAAAAAACAATTAGTTAAGAAACCCTGTAAGAATAATCAAATATTTCCTTTATTGTGTGTCGAGTTATCCCCTACTTTGCAAGAACAATTTTCCATGAGAATCTATGGATCAAAAAGTCTAAGGTAACTATAGAAAGATTTCACCTTAAGACCAGAGAGGATTTCATATTTTAACAATGGCGTTAAAATCACCAATGAAGAGCATAATACTTGTTTCGGTAGGGAGGATTGAAATAATTTTATCGAACTTTATGATATTCGAACTGGTATTCAAATTTCATTGAAGATGCATGTTCGTTCCATCCATGTGCTACTACCCAATGGCCCTATCAATGATCCATTTATGTTGTTTAACATATAACTATGATTTACTATGCTTTCTCTTAACTGCCGTGAGTACTAGTTAAACATTCATTGCTAACTCTATTGAAACACTATAAGTGCATCTAGTGCCACCCCTAGTTGGTTTTGGAGTATTGACGACACGCGTGGTTGAGGGACTAATATGCTTGTGAGAATTGCAGGATAACACAAGTAGAAGTTCCTCATTGATTTGGTTTACCTACCAGAGATGACCCCTAAAAATGTATGAAGATATTGAAGACAATGGTGGTTCGTGAAGACATTCACGTTGAAGATAATGACATGTGAAGACATTCACTTGAAGACAATGGAGTGCAAAGACATAGTTCCTTTCGTAGTTTCATTTTTCTTCTTTCTTGAGTCATAGGAACTATCCAACTGTTAAGTGGGGTCCAAGTGAACAAAGTCAGAAGACTGACGTGATGCTCAACCCAAATCCTATGTCTTCAAGTGAAGACAACGAGAGTAAATCTTATCCAGAGTTGGATGAGTCAGCTTTACTTGTAGCCCAAGTCAAGCTGCCGCGTGTGTTTGAAATCCAACCGTTGGACACGTGTGCCCGGACACCGAAGCCCTCGCGGCCTTTAAACACAGCGTCCGAGGCGAGTGGCTCGCCCGACACCTCGGCCAAGAAAAGCCGAAGTCCATGGTAGCCCTTATCGCACTTATGACCCGCTTTTGCGCGGGAGAAGATAGATGGCTAGCTCATAGAAGCAATAGCACCGGCGACCTTGGCACCTCCGAAGCCAGGGATGGCAATGGCAAGCCATGACGCAACAAGCACAAGCGTCGAGACAACAACCAAGATACCGAAGACACGGCAGTTAACGCCGGATTCAGTGGCTCTAAACCCGGTCAGCGGAAGAAGCCATTCAAAGGAGATAGAGATGGTCCATCTAGTTTGGACAGAATACTCGATCGGCCTTGCCAGATTCACGGCACCCCCGAAAAGTCTGCCAATCATACCAACAGAAACTATTGGGTCTTTAAACAGGTCGGCAAGCTCAACGCCGAACACAAGGGGAAAGGGCCACCCAGCAAGGACAACGATGAAGAGCCTTGCCCACAGAACACAGGGGGACAGAAGAAATTTCCCCCCGAGGTCAAAACGGTGAACATGATCTACGTCACTCACATCCCTAAACGGGAGCGTAAGCGCGCATTAAGGGACGTCTACGCCATAGAGCCAGTCACCCCAAAATTTAACCCATGGCCAGCTTGTCCGATCACTTTCGATCGCAGAGACCATCAACCAATATCCATCACGGAGGATCGGCCGCATTGGTTATCGATCCAATTATT